GATACAAAGATAAATACCCGTTGCAACCGTTGTATTGACGAGGTCCAGTAGCAGAGTTAGGAAAATATCTACACAGCTTAATGGGTTGCTCTTAATATACATATACTTACATTTATCTGTCGAGTATATATATAATGCAAACAATAATATGTACATAGTTATATATATGAATAAATTTACATTAGTGGTTTTTTTCCCTGTGCATATTACTATAAAAATATATACTTATATTACCATTCCTGCATATATTTTATACTACTATTCCTGTATGCATGTCTCATTCATTTTGTTTTAACTCACTTTCGTCTGCTTTTAGCTTCTTACGAAATGAAACCAACGCATTGTCGAGGAACGCTTGCCATCGACGGATGATCTGTGTTCCGGTGGAAAAAGTGCAAGAACGGCGATGCTCATTCAGGAATTTCGTGTCGATGCAGTCTCTGATCCGAATTTTCGCCGAAGCACTACTACAACAAAGTAATTGCCAACGACTGGTGCCTCTCGAGCTGTCCTCGATGATCTCCACTCCGACTGTGTACTGGAAAAAGCTTCAGGATAGCAACGTATGCTTGCAAAAACATCTCATAACTCGGGAAAAATGATGTCTTGCATCGGTTTCACTCTCGAATTTATAGCTGTTACTATTATCCAGTCAGTATCCTGCGCTCTGTGCGAGTGAAATTTCACACTCCTTTTGCAGTACCGGCACAATTATCCAAGGAATAAGCTATCGAGTTGTTGTTAAAGTGGCCGAACAAGTACAATGACTGGTGCAGTAACGATGCTACATGGGAAGAGGAGGAGGAAGGTATAGTCGGGAATGATCAAAGGAGATGGAATGAGAGAGGGCAAGGGGATGAATGGGTAAGGAAGAGGGAGAAAGAGGAAAAGGAAAAAAGAAACCGGGTTTCAGCACTTTTTTTTAATAAAAATAACTAAAAAGATGAAATGAGAGGAAAATTTGGAACATAAGTTTCGCTTGGTATGAACAGTGCTGCATGCAGTCTCTGAACTGACTAGGAAAAAGAAACAAAAAAGAGCGTTTTGTCAACTGAACACCAAAATTAAGTTT